AAAATGGATTCACATTTTGAATGCAAAATGCATGTGCGTTATAATCCTATAGCTGTGCAAATAGTGGATACGAAGTGATGTGAATTACAGCATCATGAATCAATCAGTTACGTGAAAGAAGCGGGTCCCTAGAAATCATATGCGATACTAGTTCACTGTTCGAGAATTATTCTTTGACGTTATGACTGTTGGCCATGCTTTTCATTGGTACGGTTGTTCCTTATTAACTGCGTTTTTGAGAAGTCTAGTTAACTTCAAATAGAAATTTGAACTTAAATATTTTTTCGCCTTCCTGATCATTTTTTGTTTTCTAAGGAGCGTTCTGACCGTCGTATCTTCTGGAAACATACCTTTTCACAATCTTTTCGGTACCTTCGACAAACTTATTACATAGCTCGTCAGTAATCGAAATTCAGTAGAAATGTGTAATTTTTACTGATGTTTGTTTTAAAGGCATTCATTATTGCTCTTTCTGAATAATTTTTAATTTAATATATTTTTCTATTTGATGCCATGCTGTGCGACCTCAAAGTAGGCGCTATCTTTTAGTTTTTGCTTTCAAGCAGAAAATATGATTAACGGAGTTCCTATAATAAATGTTATTGGAGTTTTGGCATCTTGGATTGCACCGTATTTTTAGAAGTGTCACCGAAAATAGACCAAGATTTGGATTTTGTGACGATGAAGTTGATCCCTCTAATTAACGAATTGTTCGACCTGAAGCAGTTCAGTCAACATATATTATCGGTAAGTACTTGGAATGTGGTACCGAAATGACGGTTCGAACAGTCTTTTACGTAAAATTCGATGTTCCTTATTTTAAATTTTAAATCTCTTAATTTTTTTCTAAAACCTATTTTATTAATCATCACTTAGTCAGTGCATAAAAATAATGTCCTGAAAATTTTTTCTTAAGTTCTTAACTAATTTCTTTAGCTTCTTGAAGTTAATATGCAAATCGGTGTTGCTGTGATAATTTTGAGTTTAACTTATTTTCGTGTAAAATGTCATTTTAAGTTGTATTTGTCGAGACACTCGACATTGACGATGATTCATGTCATTGAAATGAAATAGGCATGGAATAAAGTAGGAAAAAAGTTTCTAACCTTTGAAATGTCGGTTTTTCATACACTTTTATGATCGGGCTATTCTGGCTCCCTTCTTTTCATGAAGTTAATGGTGTGAGCGCTGATATCCATTTCCGTGTGATCAGGCCAGGAATACCTTACTTTTAAGGGCACAATCGACAGCAGCTATGTGGCAAACATGGTATGTTGTCGTTTGTTGCCTTCTTGCAGAGTGGTACTCATTTATAGTACCCAAGACCTCGGAGTCCGACGTTCTTTCGAATGACCAACCCTGATCTGAATAAACTTGTGGTGAATTTCTTGTTCAAGGAATTTCGTGGTTAGGACAGAGGTTGCTGTCGCCGGAAAGGAATCCATCATCTCCGGAGTTCAGCGCTGACCTTTCTGGCACTGTCCGCTTGCCACTACAATCAACATAATATTGAGTTTGGTTTGGTCATCATTATGGATTTCCGATTCTTTGAACAAAGTTAGACTGGATAATGATCAAGTGCCATTATCAGTCATGTATACGAGCAGTCGCAAAGCTACAGTGAGGAAAACAGTCGCTGTATTAAAGCAACCGTACCTCTTCGCAGACGTTACATTGTGGTGATTCAAACTACCGTAATTTCGCAAAAGACTAAGGTATTTTTCGGGAGTGGCTCCACAATTTCGTTAAATCAAGGCAAAAGGAGGTAGGAAGTCTTTTGATAAACTTTCATTTTTAAATGTCTGTTCTCGATCATATGCCTGTTATATATAGTGCGGCGATCTAAATGTTCCCATGAAATGGGCGAGACATTTAGCAGCTGGAGCATGTTTCACCGGTGTGAATATGATCAGTTTGTAGGCCATGTGATTAGAAGAGGTCTAAGGATGCATTTGGGTGAGTGCATGACTCTTCAGTCACATCGCTGACCTGCTCTACCATAAGAGAATAAACGACGTTACTAGTAAAGGCAGTTTTCATGTTTCACTAATGCACTACGCCGGAAACTCGAGCTCGTGTCTAATGTTTAAATGCAGTAACGGTATTCAGTTATGAGATAAATATATATTTTTATGGAAAGAGTTATCGATTGGTTGCCTGTTTGAATGACAGTTAATGATCTTCGATTCTCAATCCATGGTTCGAGGCTGCATGTGAAAACAACCGTGTACCGTTTGACATTTCAGCGCTTCGCGTCAGTTTCGTTATCAAGGTTAAAGTGTCCAGTACTATAACCCTAATAATTTTGTTAGTGTTTTGCCTCAAGTCGTATCGGTAAATAAACTACTATGTAAAATCGTTTATTTACCGATACGACTTGACGCGAAACACTAACAAAGTTATCAGGGTTATAGTATCCAGTACTATAACCCTGTTAATTTTGTTAGTGTTTTGCG